GAAAGGAGGAAGTGTGAAGCCTTCCCTCCCCCTCCAGCCCTTCCTGGTGTCGAAATCCTGGAGACATGAGGCAGGAAGTGGCCTCCCTGCTGCCCATCAGAGGCTCGGGGCCTCATGCCATGGGCTGGCAGTCCCAGTGCCCCCTGAGCCTGTCACGCTGCCACACAGCCACATCCCATCCCGCCTGCCCTCTCCCTGCCATGGATCCCATCCCTTAATGAGCTTGTTAGGCACCCAGCCAGGGCTATTATTAGTGGGGTCTGTTGGATCTTGATTGGAAGATTTATGAGGATTTAATTCCCCTAGGCATCGGAACAGGATCTGATGGCAACACCATTGATTGCCTTTGAACCCAGGGCAGAGAATTCAGGGGTTTTGCCAGCCCTCATGCTAACAAGGTTGGCTGGCAGATCTAATTAGCTAGAGCCACGTTAGAAGGGACCTCCAGGGATAATGGAACCACCAGCAACCACATCATACACACCGGCACAACCCCATGGTGGCGGCCAGAAGCTCCATGCCAGCTGTGCCTGGATAAGCCTGGAGAACCATGCCAGCCAATCCCAAAGCAAGAGCATGCCACAGCATGCCAATGCTGCATTTTGCATCTCTGCTGCATCCATCTATCTATCTATCTATCTATCTATCTATCTATCTATCTATCTATCTATCTATCTATCTATCTATCTATCATCTATCCCCTCCCAGGGTCAGCAGCAGCATCTCCGAGCTGGGTCAGAGCTCCACCAACTTCCCTGGCAAGGAAACGCCTCAGCTGTGGGATCCGGGATGTGTCTGGATCCTGCTGTTATTACCAGAGTTTGCTCTCCAAACAACATCCAGGAAGCAGGAGTCCTGGGCCACCTTCTAGGGCTCTTTCTCTTCCCAGTGGAGATCCCTGTCTGGCTCCCACACCCTATGGCTTCATCTAGGGGGATAAATGGCGTGGTGGAGGGACTGAGCAGCAGGTCTGGCGGTGGGTGAGGGTCACCCCCCTAGCAGCAAAGTGCTGTGGTGGAATGCTGCAGAGGGGCTGGATGGTACTGCTGGGCCAGAGGAAAGGTGCAAGGGGTGCTTAATACCAGCCAAGGTGGGCTCTGGTGTACCAGAACCACTGCAGCACTTCCCAGCCACCAGGAAGCCACCCTCAAGCCACAGGCTTGGAATCCCAGCAGCCAGGAATTCCAGTAGCTGCACATCCTGTGTGGGGTTGCAGCTGCCCTGGCTGGGTGCTGAGTGGGAAAAGCAGGGAAAGGTGATCAATGGTGCCAACAGCCACCAATTCAGCTGTTTCCTCCAGCTCTTCCCACTGGTGACTCCCAAGAAAAGTGGGGTGCCACAGCAGGAATCAGCAAAAATGGGCTTTTGGGGAAATCAGATAGTAAATCAGCTCCCACAGCTGAACCTCCTGATCAAACCCAGTGGATTTGGGTTTGGAGATCCAAACTGGAAAGGAAGAGGGATTTGTCAGCCTAATTCTTCCCCCCTCACCCTCCCCCAGCTCCCACTGTACACGCTGCGTAGGCAGGGAGAAGATCAGCTCATGCCTCTCCTGCCGGCACGCCTGCTGATGGGAATGCTGCTCACCAAGCTCCCCCTGGCACCTGAAAAACCCTGCAGGCCAATCTGGCTGCATCCTGGGGTTTGCACCCAGACACTGGGGGGAACCCAGTGGCTGCTCCAACCCCTGATCTGTGGGGCTGCCCGCCGGCTCCAGGAGCGCAATACAAATTCTCAAGAATTCAGGATACTGAGCAAGGAGGAAGCGGATGCTGTCAGCCATGGCTGGGGCACCAACACCCAGCAGCAGGCCAGCAGCAGCAACAGCCGCTTCCCAGAATGCTGGATGAGTTCAACAGGCACCCACAGCTCCCATCCTGCCACTCCAAAACGCTGCAATGTTTCTGGAAGGTTCTGCCCAGGCAGTCCAGACCCCCTCATCCTTCTTTCATGCCGTGGCCATGATGGGGGGGGAGCAGAGGCTGCACCGAAGCCCCTGATCCTGCTGCCAAGGGGACATGGGAATGAGCAAAGGTAGGGCCATGGTGTTGAGGGATGAGCAGGAGCACCCTGAAATCCCTGCTCCCCCATGATTAATGGCTAAGGGGGCAGAAAGGGACTGGGGCAAGGAATGGGAGTGTCAACTCCTTGACCACTCTGCCAGGGCCAGCCGGTGAGCGGATGTGACAGGATGTCACACCTGTGAGCGGATGTCACACCCCCAGGCCTCCCTGCAAGGGCTGGCAGGGGTCATCAGGCTGTCCCTCAAATCCCAGCAGTTCCCAGCAGGATGTGCAGCCCCGCGGGCCCTACAGCTCCCCTCAAATCCCAACAGCCCCCTGCAGGATGTGCAGCCCCGCGGGCCCTGCAGCTCCCCTCAAATCCCAACAGCCCCCTGCAGGATGTGCAGCAGGTCCTGCCACCGTCTGCACCTGGAGCCCTGGGGAGCACAGAGGGGGGTCCCCATCCATCTCTGCACAGGGACCCCTAAAAGACAGCATCCCCATGGCAGCATTCCCATGGGATGAAGGCGTCGCAGGCCCTCGTGTCCCTGTGTTCTAGGGCCGGCACGTGCTCCCTGACACCCCCAGCTGTGCCGCATGCCGGGAGTGACATCAGGGCCTGGGTCCCCCGGCGTCACCGCGATGACAACAGCCTCCCCCATCCCAAATCCATCCAGGCTCCAAATCTGATGGGGAGGGAGCAGTGACGCCCCCGGTCTCCGGGTGCTCTCACTACCGCTCGGGGAGCGCCATATCCCAGCAGCGGGGCCACCTCAGGGGACCACCAGCTCCAGCGCAGGGCACTGGCAGCGCCTGTCCCACCCCTCCCCCCGCCACTGCCGGGCATGTCCCCCCGGGATGCTCCGCTCTGTCCCGGTCCTCACTCACCGGGTGCCTTTGTCTCCCATGGCCCCGCCGATCCTGCGGGCTCAGCCGAGAAGCGCCGGCTGGGCTTGGAAAATTACTGGCTGGATGGTGGAGGGAGCGGCGGCGGGGCGGGCGCGGGGCCCGGTGCGGCCCTGCTCGGGCCCGCTCGGAACCGCTCGAAACGCTCGAGCACGCTCGGAAACACTCGGAACCGCTCGGCTCGGCCCGGACGGACGCCACGCCGGCCGGTTCGGGGCCGCTCGGAACCGCTCGGGCAGGTTCGGAACTGCTCGGAGCCGCTCGGAACCGCTCGGAGCCGCTCGGACACGCTCGGAGCCGCTCGGCAGGGCTCGGCCCGTCCCGGTTCCGGTGCGGACGCTGCCGCCGCCGCCGCCTCCGCCCGCCCCTGAGCGGCGCGGCCCCGGGGCCGGGGGCGGCGGCGCGCAAGGGCCGCACGGGCGGGGAGAGGATACGGGGAGAGGATACGGGGAGGCGGGGGGGAGGGCACCGGGCTGACACGGGGTGGGCGGGAAGGCGGTGAGGGGGTAGGAGAGTGTGGGGCAGTGCGCGCGCACACACACACACGGAGCGGCGGGAGCACGCGCGCGGCTCGGGGCGCCCCCCAGCGGCTGCGCGCGGGCACAGCGGGGGGAATCCCGCGTGTGATCCTGGGGACACGCGTGGGGGAACGGGGACCTGCGTGTCAGCCGAGACACGTCTGAGAGCACACAGAGACACGTACGTGAGCACAGACGCGGGAGTGTCAGTACAAAGTGTCTGTGGGCAGAGGGACGCAACTTGCACGTACACGCGCACACATCTGCATACAGGCGCCATGCACACACACACGCGTGAACTCACGCACGCACACGTGCACATACATGCATGCACACGTGTGCGCACACACACGTGTACACAAAACAGTGTGTGCACACGGGCGCACGCACCCACGCACACACACGCACTTGCGAACTCCCCGCCCCCGAGGTGTCCCTCCCCTCTCCAATGGAATCCGCCTTCCCTGCAGGAAGGAACACGTCCGTCCCCGCCCTCTCTGCCTCCTGTCGCGGAGCAGCCCGCGGGGAACGGGCTTCAGGTGATTCCAGTGCTACGTGCATCCCCAGCTGGAGCATCCCCTTCCTATCCTGCCCCCACGGCCGTCGTGGATGGAGGGGACCGAGGATGGACATGCGATGTCTCCTGTGCCCACTGTGGGGACACCTGCACCCCACCCACGGGGCAGCTTTACCCCATCCTTGGGGAAACCTGCTCCCCACTGTAGGGATCAGCCAAGACAAAAGGACAGGAAGCAATGACGGGCCGAGGCTGCGGTGAGGGTCTGGAAGGAAGGCCGTGGTACCTGACGGATCCAGGCAGGAATGTCACCTAAGGGCATAGAGCCGTCGGTTGCAGAGGCAGAAGTGGGGCAGCTCCTGGCTAGGAACCATAAACCCTGCTCTGGGACTAGTTCGGAGGATTAAAGGATTTAATCCCAGGACTTGAATCGGCGCTTGGAGCAGAATGGAGGCATTTGGTAGTTTGGGCAGTTTTTCACGGTTTTCACCCCCATTTTGACAGCTCATGGTGTGCCAGAGCATGCCAGCACCAAAGCCTCCAGGGACTTTTCCTCTGGGTATAAAGTGCCCAAAAGCTGTCAGACTGGGCTGGGATGAAAGTGGTGCATTGATTTTGGATAATAAATCGCTCCTTAGCTGTATGGCGGGAATGAAAGCTACAGCCCTGATGGATGATGGGCAGGCTAGGGGGTCCCCTCTGGGGCTATGCAAGGATGGCTGCAGGAGCCAGAGGAGCAGCTGGATTCTGCCCCAGTCCCTGCCCAGGCTCAGAGGAGTCCCTACACAGGCCTCATGCTGCATCTCAGCCTAGGATCCCGCTGCATCCCAGCCCAGGCTGGATCCTGCCCCAGGCCCAGCTCCCCCTGCTGCCGGGCTGGATGGGGCCCAGCATTGGACCATTCCATGAGAGTGGAACATCCAAGGACAGGCTGGAGCTACCTGGGGAGTCAGAGCTACACAGCCCAAGCTGGATTCTCCCCCTGAAGGTGATCTTGGTGCTCATAAGTTTCAATATGGAGCTCCCCAGACCCCAACAAGGCCACCCACCAACCTGTCACGGGAAGGTTGACATATGAAATTTATTTAGGAAAACCAAAACCCACCAAAAAAAGAGAAATAATAATAAAGAAGGAGCAGGAGGAGGAGAAACAGTAGTGGGAGGAGGAGGAAGAGGAGAAGGAGGAGGAAGAAAAGAAGGAGAATAAGAAAAGAAGGAGGAGAGGAAGAAAGAGAAGTCATCTCCTCCTTAGGCTCCATTGGAGTCCAGAACAACCAGTGCCGCAAGACAGAAGGACAGAAAAGCTGGAGGAGGTTTGCACACCCACACACGCCTGTGCACACTCCTGGGTGAGCTGGGCTGGCTGTGAGCTGCACTCCTCAGTATCCAGAGGGGTATATACAGGGGCAGGAGCTGGGAAAGCATTGACTACCTACACACACCAGCAGCAGGGGCTGGAAAAGTGGGATACGGCTGGGAAAAGGGCATCCCTGCGTGCCCCCACCACGGTGTGGTACCCGGGGTGCAGAACCCAAGTGCAGGACACCCCCACATCTGTTGGATGGAGAGATCTGTGCATTGTCAGGCATCCCTGGGCGGCACTGGGATGCAGGGACTGTCTTTGAACAGTTGTACCTACTGGCACCTTGGTACCAAGGCTGTGCCAGTGTCACGACAGGGATGGAGCTGCTGTCCTCCTCTTGCAGCTTGGGGGTTTGCTGCCTTCTGGGACCTTCCCCACCCCCTATGGCAGTGTGGGGAGGGGGGGAAGGGCTTAAGGGGGTCATGGGCCAGCAGACAGACTCAGTCACCAGGTGGGCCCCACCAGGGTTCGGGCAAAGCATCTCACTAAAGGCATCTCCGAGTAGGTAAGGCAAAAGGAATTCAGGCCACTTCAGCCACGTGGAGCAGCTCAGTGTTGAGGTCTCCCATTGCTCCTGCAGACACACGCTCCAGGTATCCCGAGAACACAGGCAAGTCATCGCTCACAGACAAGCCAAGGAGAGAAGCAGCCACTGTGCAGCCCAAATCCAGGAGGGACCGCTGTGGCACCACTGGGGATGGTGCCATGGGTTACTGCAGAGCAGTGGGGATGGGGTGGCAAAGGGCCCCACGTGCACTCTTGATCCCAAAAGAACCAACACCAATGACAGCAGTGCCGGAATTTTACCCTGCTGCTCCCGTCACCTTTCCCTGCTGTGGTGTTGGACTCATCCAGCCCCCACAAGCTGGATGATGCAGCCTGAGGGCTCAGTGCACCCTAATCCCCCAATGCTGAGCACACCCACTCAGCCCCAGCCCCCTCTTCAGCTCTGCCCCAGCAGTTCCCCTGCTCATGGGTGTTTCAGATGGCCTTGGCTGGGTGATGGAGCCCAGGATCACGTACAGCTGCTCGGACCCTGGGAGCTGGCGGAGCCCCTGGGACTGAGAGGGTCCATATGAGTTGGGTTGTGGGACTGGAGAGACCACAGGAGGGCAGCAGGGTCCATGCACAGTGGTCTGTAGGACACAGAGGAGAGCACTGGGGTCCATGCACGGTGGTCCGCAGGACCAGAGAAACCACAGGAGATTGGTGGGGTGCATGCATGGCAGTCAGGACAAGGAGGGAGTCGTGGGAAAACACCAGGGTCCATGCATGACCAGATCAACCATGGTAGACCAACAGCATCCATGCATGGTGCCACATAGGACTGGAAGGACCACAGGAAAATAGCAGGGTCGATGCATGGTGGTCTGCAGGACCAGAGGGACCACAGGAGACCACTGAGGGTCATGTCCAGTGGTCTGCAAGACCAGAAGGATCCCAAAATGCCAGCAGGATCCGTGCACAGAGGTTGGTATGGCAGGAGTTGTGAAGCCACTGTGAGCTAGGGATGCTCACAACATGGTCACCAAGCAGAGAAGCTGCTTGCAGTGAGGAGGCTCCCGGGTGGACACCTCAGAGGAACACCCATGTTCCTCTACCTATGGCAGGGACATGTATGGGACCAGAAGGTGAAGGTGATGTGTGGGACCAGATGGACCCCCTGTGGAGCACAGCCTCCCTCCCCTGTGCATGCAAACCAGCAGCAGGACCCCCAGCCTTGGCAAGTGTGTAGCCCTTGTAGGGGATGTGGTTGTGTGGTTGTGTGGGACTGGGCTGTGTGAGAGATATGAGCCCTTCCATGGGTGAGTGGGTTCAGAGGTCCTGGAGGGGTGGGGCTTTCAGCCAAAGGATGCTCAGCAGCTGCTAGGGAGAGGCTGCAGCTAGTTCTCTAGTGTGGATCCCAGCAGGGGATGCAGGCACATCCCCATGGCCATGGCCATCCCACTCTGGTGTCTTCCCTCCTCCAGCTGGAGCCAACTTTCTTCCGTGGACCTGATCTATGGTCCCCACAGATCCCCATAACATCCCCCATACGCTGTACAGCCACCCCACAGCTCTCCCACTGCCCCTCACCACCCTGCCCCACATCATCCCCCTCTGTCCTGCCTGACCCATGCACACCCATGTCATGGTGACCGAGCCCTCTATGGGTGCTTCCACCAAGGACATCATTCTTATTGTCACCCCATGGGGACAGGACCTGCAGTCTTAAGGCAGCTTAAAGCACATCCATCCCCCAGCCCCACCGTGTCCCTTGGTGCTCCCAGCCACCAAGGCAGTGTCCCATGGACTACTGGGTGGACAGGACACCTGAACACCCGCCCCGGAGGGAGGAGATAGTCACTCAGTGGTGGGGAAGGACCAGTGGCGGCTGCTGGCAGCACACAGCCCTTGCTGTGGTAGTCCAGATTCACTGATATTCCCTCAAACCTCCTCCCCATAAGCTGGGGGATGAGGCTTGGGGATGCTCCCAGCCCAGCCATGGCTGTGGCCCCCCCGCCGTCTTCTTCACTCGGCCCCAGCCTCGGTGGGCTGCCCCACCTCAGGTTCCAGGCAGCCATTGAGCTGGGGGTCAGGGACCTGTGGGTCATATTCCTCATCCAGAAAGTCCAGGGAGTTGTTACTGGGCAACCCCCGGATGGTGAATTTGTGGGAGACCTTGGTCCACTGCTCCCGGTTGCTGGCCACCCGCTCGTAGAGCTCCGCTGCCTTGGGGAAGAGATCCTGCAGCAATCTGGGGAGTGGGGGATGCATTCCATCAGCACAGGGCTGCACCCCCTTACTTCAATGCAACCCCCTTGGCTGAGTGCAACCCCCATCCCACAGCCTGGAATGCCCCCCAACATCTGCAAGACTTGGCACACACAGCACCCGATCCCCCCCTGAGGGAGGTGGGGGTGTCAGGGGGTCCTCCCCATCCCAGCTCCAGCACTGGGGCTCACTTGTAGATGGGCATGGCAATGTGCTCCATGAAGCTGATCTGCAGCTCGGGGATGTAGGCTTTCTCCCGGTCCATCATCTCCAGCGGGCTGTTCCCCATGGCTTTCTCCTGCATGGGTGGTGAGGAGGGTCAGTGCCAGTGGTGCTTTCCCCCATTCACAGGCAAGACCTCTCTGCCCACTGCCCACACCCCCCATCCCATTGGTGCTGTCTAGGAGCATTGGCCAAGCCCAACCCTGCCAGCTGGTACCTACCAGGTCACCCTGGGAGAAGAACTCCTTGTAGATCAGCTCCTGCAAGAGACAGGTGTCAGCACAGGGGGTGCAGCTTGAAATGATCCCCCATCCCCACTGCCCTCCAGACCCCTCCCCACAGCTCTGAATCAAGCAGGGATACGGTCTTGCTTGGAGGGACTGGGTTCTGCATGGCCCAGAGTCCTGCAGGGAGGAGCCCACTCCACAAGGGGCAGGTGTGTGCCTGGGGACATGCAGGTGGCCTAGGTGGGTTCTGAGGTGGCATTCAGGGGTTTAGCTCCGTGGTGTGGCACTCACTGCAATCTTCCTGGTAGTCTTCCAGCCCTTGGTCTGGTCAGATAGGTCACAGGAGGTCATGAGCAGGCAGAGCAGCAGGCTGCGGTGCTGCTTGTTCTTGGGGTCATATCCCACTGTGGGCAGAGTGTGGGGCAGGGTTTGGGATGGGGGGCTCAGGACAGAGCTCCAAAGCCCCCATCATACCACATGTGAGCACTTTAGGGACAGCCAGAACTTTCTGTGTCGTGTCCCAGCCCTTATGACCCCTGACATAAGAACCTCCTGTGCCATCTCCCAGCCTTGGTGAGATGAGTTCCTACCACCCCTCAAATCCCAATCCCAATCTCCATCAAGGATCTTCACCTTCTGCCATTTTCTGGAGATCCTTGAAGATGCGGAGGTGGTGGGCCAGGTCAGTGGCCAGGATGATGTCCCGCATCAAGTCCAGCATGCGCTGGTAGTCCTGTGGGCAAGGCAGCTGCCGTGACCAGCTCTCTGCCCCTCCCAGCTCCCACACCTCCTGGGATCCAGGGATGGGGAGCAGGAGGTCTGGAGAGGACGCAGGGGCTCAGCATGGGCAGGGGTGGCAGGAGAGAGGTATTTGGGTGGGGGGCTCACCTTTCTGGAGAAGTGGTCAAAGATGTTGCAGCCTTGGCTGTTGAGGATAGCAATGGCTTGCGCAAAGTGATGCCTCTGTGGGAGAAGGCAGGACCGTGAAAGCAGGTAGGGAGCAGGCAAGGATGCTGCCATGCAGCCAGAACCCAGGAGAGATGGGCAATGAGAGATTTGTGGGGGATCTCACCTCCATGACAGAGCCCTCTGAACTGTAGAGCGCGGCCAGGACTGATTTCTGCAAGGTAGAGCAGCCAGAATGATGAACTATGGGGGTGAAGACCCCCACAGCTCTCCCCATACCTCTCCTTCCCCCTCGCCCATCCCAGCTCTGGGCTCGGCTCACCGAGGCCACCTGGAAGGAGTTATTTGTTCCTCTGTGGTCCAGGTCGTGGCACATGCAGGAGATGAAGAGGGCAAAGATCTCGATGTCTCTGGGAAGGGGGAGGAGGGAAACTGAGGCAGGCAGGAGAGCAGGGAGCACCCCAGCCAGGCCAGGGGTTGGAGAACAGGGGCAGGGATAGCACCTGGCCTTACTCCAGGTAGTTAACGAGCTCCAGGTTCTTGTAGAGCAGGTAGCAGAAGTGGGAGACGGAGAAGGCGTGCATCCAGTTGTGGTAGGGGGGGTCACGGTACCCCTTCTTTACCATCAGGCAGAACCTGGACAGGGGCAGAGCCACGCGGGGTGGGTCTCACCCCACAGGGATCTCCACCTTGCCAGGTGCCCACCAGGCAGGCACGGGCATGGGGATGAGGATGGGATTGGGAAGGGTTGGGGAGGGGTGATGGGAGGGGGATAGGCACAGGGAAGGTAGACAGTTATCTGCATGGGGATGGCATAGGGATAGGGATGAGGATACGGACAGGGGACAGAGAAGGTGGACAGGAAGGGGAATATGGATGGGGACAGGGACAAGGAAGGAGACGGAAGGGATGAGATAGGTGGATGGGGATGGAAATGAGGATGGAGACAGGGAAGGTAGACAGAGATAAGGACTCACCTGGTGAGCGTCTGACGGTCCATCTTGTAGTTGTTGATGAAATTCATGTCTTGCAGCATGCTCAGGATGGCCTGGCAGAGGGGGCAGGGTGGGTGGCAAGGAATGACAGTGCCCAGCAAGGTCCCCCGTAAGCCACCCCTGCCCCTGCTCAGCAGGAAGATGCTCAGGGGTGCAACCACATCCCTTCACCCCAGAACCCCAGCACCCCAGGGTTGGGATATATGACCTGACCGAGGCCAGGCAGGGGATGGTGGCAGTTGAGAGTTGTCCCCATGGTCCTCACCATGGAGGTGTCGTCCTCAGGCAGTGAGCGTGGTGTGTAGGTGAAGCTGGCAAAGTTGGGGTCAATGGTGGACACAGGCTGGATGCCCTCGCTCAGCAGTTTGGTGTACTCATCATCAGACACCTGCAGGAGCCACAGCCAGTGACCCACACTGTGGCCATGTCACCAGGTGTCCCAAAGGCCACATGAACCACAGGGAGAGCAGAGAGCCCTGGGGTATCACCACCACCCAGCTGTGTGACCACCTTGGGATAAAGTGTGGGGGCACCATGCTGGCAGCGGGGGTCCCCATCCCTGTCCCTGTCCTCATGCTACCTCACCTTCATGTGGTACATCATCATCTCATTGGCCAGGTGGCTTCGGTACTGTGCCTCATTCACCTTCTTGTACAGCAGGGACTGTGGGGCAGGATCAGGGGATGGGAGTGCTGGGGGTGGGCAGACACCTCCAGCACCCGCCAGCCCACCCTGGCACCACAGCACATCTTTGTGCCCATGAATTCCCTCCCATCCCGTGGCCACCACCACTTGTCCCCAAGGAATGGGGACCACACACACACACACATCCCCCCATCCCCATCCCTGTGCTGTGGCAGAGCTGGGAGCCCACGTTGTGTGTGACCCCCTCCAAGGGGAGGACCCCCAGCACATACATGGGCGATGCTGATGCCGCAGTAGATGGAGAAGGCAGTGGCCAGGTCCTCGTCGAACTTGCTGAACCAAGGGCCATTGATCTTGTTGACCAGCTCTGCCACCCCAATGACCTCTGGAGCAGAGGGGGGACAGCAGGGGTATCAGACCCTTGTGCTGGGAACAGGGTCATGCCTGTATGCTGGGGACAGCACCGTGTCTGTGGGCTTAGGGCAGGGTTGTGCCCAAGTAGCAGGGACAGTGCTGAGCCTGTGGGCTGGGGACAGCATAGCACCCACATTCTGGGGACAGTGCTGAGCCTGTGGGCTGGGGACAGCATAGCACCCACATTCTGGGGACAGTGCTGAGCCTGTGGGCTGGGGACAGCATAGCACCCACATTCTGGGGACAGTGCTGAGCCTGTGGGCTGGGGACAGCATAGCACCCACATTCTGGGGACAGTGCTGTGCCTGTGGGCTGGGGACAGCATAGCACCCACATTCTGGGGACAGTGCTGTGCCTGTGGGCTGGGGACAGGATAGCACCCACATTCTGGGGACAGTGCTGAGCCTGTGGGCTGGGGACAGCATAGCACCCACATTCTGGGGACATGCTGTGCCTGTGGGCTGGGGACAGCACAGCACCCACATTCTGGGGACAGTGCTGAGCCTGTGGGCTGGGGACAGGATAGCACCCACATTCTGGGGACAGTGCTGAGCCTGTGGGCTGGGGACAGGATAGCACCCACATTCTGGGGACAGTGCTGAGCCTGTGGGCTGGGGACAGCACAGCACCCACATTCTGGGGACAGTGCTGAGCCTGTGGGCTGGGGACAGCATAGCACCCACATTCTGGGGACAGTGCTGAGCCTGTGGGCTGGGGACAGTGCTGTGCCCAGGGGCTGGGACAGGCTCATGCCCAGGGACTGTACTGTGCTCATGTGTTGGTGGACAGGATCGTGCCCATATGCAGGGTACATGATCATGCCCATGTGCTCAACAACAGTGCTGTGCCCATGGGCTGGGACAGAATCATGGGCTGGGGAACAGTGCTGGGTGTCTGTAGGGGGACAGGATCATGTCCAGGGACCACACTGAGCTCATGGAGTAGGACAAGATGATGTCCGTGTGCTGGGGTCAGTGCTGTGTTTGTCTGTGGGGGGACAGGATCATACCCAGGAACTGTGCCCTTGTGCCAGGAGACAGCACTGAGCCCAAGGGTCAGGACAGGACCATGCCCACATTCATGGGACAGAATGCTGCCCTGATGCTGGGGACAGGACTGTGACCAAGGGACTGGGACAGGGTCATGCCCATGTGCTGGGGCAGTGCTCTACGTACAGGCTGGGGGCAGAATAGTGCCCATGGGCTGGGGACAGAAGGGTGTTCACATGCTGGGGACAGTACTGAGCCAGGATTGTGCCCCTGTGCTTGAACAGGATTCATGCCCACAGGCCAGGGATAATGCTGCGCCCGTGCCTGCATGCTGGGGACAGTGTCATGTCCACATGATGGGTGACCAAACCACCATGTGCTGACTAAGACACCTGCTGGCCCGACCTGTGCCCCCCTCTTCCTAGTGTGCCCCCATCCCTCGCTCACCCTGGCTCTCATTCTTGATGGGGAAGCAGAGGATGTTGCGGGTGCGGAAGCCGGTGCTGTCATCCACCCCGCGGTAGAAGAGCGGGTGTGAGTAGGCATCCTTGATGTTCAGGATCTTGCCAGTGGTGGCCACGTGCCCAGCGATGCCCTGGTCTGCTGGGATGCGGATCTCGTAGCTCTGTGGGCAGGGGAAGGGGATCACCAGCAAGGCCTGTGGGGAGGGACACAACCCCAGGCCCCCCAGCTCCATGCTGTGCTCACCTCGTCATCCACCACTCCACCATCGAACACCTTGGCCACCAGCTCGTGACTGAGCCGGTCCAGCAGGAATACAGAGCATCTGCAAGACACCCCGCTGCCATTCTCACCACAGGGGAGCTCGGTGTCCCCCCCTGTGTCCCCTCACCCACGTGCCCCACCACCACCACTCACATCTCAGCATTGCTGAGGTTCCGGGCCTCCGTAATGATCTCCTGCAGCAGGACGGAGACATCATCTGCAGGGGTAGCAGTGAAGGGTCAGGGACCCCAGCCAGGCAGCACTGCCCCCTCATCCCCACTCATGCAGTGAAAGCAGGGGGAGGGTTTAGCTCAGAGTCCCAGCTGGAAGTCTGGGGGACACAGAGGGACAGGGGCAGTGTGGGGAATGTGCATGTATGAGCCGTGTACATGTGTGCAGCAGTGCAGCTGCACATGTGCACACGTGTTTCTAAGAGCTCTGTGGTCATGCTACATGCATGCATGCAGCCATGCAGCATCAGTGCGTGTCAGGTTCTGTGCCAGCTCATATCACCCTTCTGTTACCATTCCCCAACAACAAGGTTTTCCCTGGCTGGGGACAGAGACCCCATTGCTACCACCCTCCACGACTGGGGAGTGATCATCCATTCCCCATTCCACTCCCTCACCATGGGTGCTCTCCAGTGCACCTACCCAGGTGGGTGAAGAGGTTCTTGGCCACCTGCAGCAGGGCCTGAGGGGACAGAGAGAATGCCATTAGTGACCAGTGCAAGATGGGGCAGGCACACACACACATGGCACAGCCCTGCACATGCTCACCTGGCACTCACACTTGAGCTTCTGCTCCTTCTGGAAGGCCAGGGTGCTCGTGAGCACTGTGGAGGTGTAGCAGAAGCAGTGCTGGATCTTGTGCTCGTCCGTGTCTGTGAAGCTGGCGGGGGCACACCTCAGTTGTCTGTCCCCATTGGTCCCTCCCCTTCTCCATGGGGACAATGCTCCAGCACCCCAAAAGGGAGGGGGTGCAGCCCCACAGAGAGCCCCAGCCAAAACGCTGCTCACCTCTCCCCACTCAGTTTGTTGAAGGCGCAGGCCAGTGCCACCACCTGGGAGGTGGCCCGGCTAATGACAGGGACACAAAGCATGGAGGTGACCTCGCAGCCCAGCATGCTGCTCAGCTGCTTGTGCTCCTCCTGCAGGGAGAGGCAAGATGGGGCTGGAACCCCTGGCCCACTCCAGGAAGCCCCATGGGACACTGGGGTGACACCCACGTCCCCAGGTGTGGAAGGCACAGAGCTGGTACCCACCTCACTGATGTCCTTCAGGGTGATGGGCTTCTTGTCCTCCACCACCTGCCCCAGGCGCCCAAAGGTGAGCTGTGGGGAAAGGGAACACCTTAGCGCACAGCACCCATTGCCCACCCCCTGACCTCCCAACCCCTCACCACCTCCCCTTGCTCACTGAAAAGCTGATCTCCTCATCCAGGACACGGTCTCCCACCACCTGGAAAAGATGGGAAGGAGGGGTTGCCCATGAGGAAGACACCATGCCCAGGGGATGTCCTGTAGTCCTCTGTGGGGGTCAGGCTTGGGGGCTGGCCCAGTGGCACCTACCTGGCAGAAGAGCTGGTGGTTGTCCTCAGAGACGAGCAGGAGGCAGCAGCACAGAGACTGGGTCTCCTGCTTCAGCTGGGGAGTAAGGGGAGGGTCAGCACCCCAGCCTGCCCCGAGCTCTCCCCAGACAGAATCCAGCCCCTCCTGTGCCTCCCTGTGCCCAAGGCTCCCACACATGCCACAGAGAACTAGGTGCCCCTCCCCAGAACCTCCTCCCCATGACACAGCAGGTTCCCTCTGGAGGCTACTGATGGCAAGGGGAAGGCTGTTCACTCTGGACAGTACTGAGGCTCATACTGAGAATGATAGAGAGCAGGAGAGGAACCTGTATGTTCTCTCAAGGAGTTTTTGGCGTGAGAGTGGCACTGTTTACTCTGGAGACTATTGATGGTTGTTACAAGGCTGCTCACTCTGGTCACTACTGATGACTCCACAGCTGATGCTTGAGGCTTTTCTTGGCTTTGGGGAATTTTCTTGTTTTGAAATAAAACAGGGCTCCCTGGTGTGTCCTGGGGCTGGGGGCAGATGGGGACAGGGGGCTGGTGGAGCAGCTACTCACATAGTTGATGACCTTGAGCTGCAGTGAGGCGGCATCCAGGTCATACAGCTCACCTGTGTGAGGGTCACAGTGCTGTGAGGGGCTGAGCACGGCTTCACCCTGCCCACACACCCCACCCTTCCCAGTGTCCCCCCTCGTACCACAGAGCTGTAGGATCTTGCAGTCCAGGTCACTATAGCTGCTGTCAGGTGCCTTCTCAGGCTTGGCCAGAGAGGTCTGGGAGGAGCTGGTGGAGAGGCTGACCTGGGGCCAGGGCTGCAGCTTCTGCAGGGCTTGCAGGCGCCGGACTGCCACCAGGGCCTGCAAGGTTGGGCAGAGGGGACAAGGAGCAGCAGGGCTGGGGGAAAGGCTGGCAGGTCCCCAGGTGGCAGGTCCACAGTTGAGAAGGAGTCACTCACGTGTCTCTCTAGCGCACGCAGGTTCTGCTCGTCTGAGTCACTCAGCTGGCCACAGTGTACCTGGAGCAGGAGTGGTGTCAGGACCCTGATGGCCAGGCCCTGTCCCCAGAGCCCTGCCCATGTTCCTGCACTCACCAGGATGACACAAACCACAGCCCCACTGTTCTTGTCCACCAGCGGGATGATGAGCACTGCAAGCAAGAGAGGGTTGGTCCCAGGTGGGCCCCAGGGACAGCCTGGAGCTGTGGAACTCAGCTCTTGGGGTGCATGACCCCATTACATCCTGATGTGTCGTGACCCACCCAGCTAGCCAGACAGTCAGCCAGCCATCTCTCCATCTTCCCACCCATCCATGATCTATCTGCCCCCCTGTCTGCTTCCTTGTCCCTGAGAACACCCCTCAGTCCCAGTGCCCACCTGTCCCTCACGCCTCCATCCTGTTTCTACCCACCTGTCTATGCATCCATCACTCACCCACACACTGCTGTCTGAGCCACTGCCTCTGACCACCCATGGAGCATCCATCCATCCATCCATCCATCCATCCATCCATCCATCCATCCATCCATCCATCCACTCACACCTCAATCCCCCTCCCTGTCCCACCACCCAACCCTACACCCACACCCCCATACATGGGTGGTCCACCAAGAGCACCCTTCCCACAGCTCCCACCTTGTGTGCCAGGGGCCAGGGGTGCTGCCAGGGGTCCCAGGTGCCGGCCAGGGAGCTCGGCAGGGAGCAGCCCCCCACATTCCAGCCGCTTCTGCTTCTGCACAGCATCTCTGTGGGGACAGGGATACTTTGAGCACCCCCTGGGAAGGTCAACCCCCAGGAAGGGGCAACTCCCTGGGCAGAGACACCCATGGGATAGGGACAGGCTCAAGGATTGTGCAACACGTGTGCATATGTGTGTCCCTGCAGGCATGCACAGCCCCTGGACACAAATGTGTGTGCTCCTGCACACACACAGCCCCCGTGCCAACACGTGTGTCCCTGCACATACACATAGCCCCTGTGCATGTGTGCACGTCCAGGATGAAGAAGAGGATGGGAAGGGACAGCGGACAGCCACAAGTATGGAGATGGAAAGAGGATGGAGATGGGGACAGGGATGGAAACCCTCCTGCCTTCCATACAGACACCTATTCATGCACTCCAGCTGGGCCACCCCTGTGTGCCCATCCATGCCCAGGGCTGGGCAGGTGGCTGAGCTCACCTGAGCTTCCCGTTGGGTGGCAGCTCGTGGGGGGGGTCGTCGCAGAGCAGCCGTGTGTCCCCATCCAGCAGGTAGATGTAGACGTGCTCCTGGGGGACAGGGGCAGCACACACGTGTGTGCCAACATGTGAGCACAGCCACATGTGTGCACAAACACGTGTGCACAGCTGCAGTGGCACATGCACACATTCACAAACCCAGCCCTACCCACGCACAGAGCCCTGCTCAGGTGTGCACCATTCACACCACCCATTGCTGGGGGGCCCCATGGTATGTCAGTGGAACAATGCCCACCAGCATCAGGGTCACCAGGATCAGGACCAACAGCACCCCCAGGGTCACCAGCACCCTGAACCCACCATGAGCACCAAGGCCACCAGCAGCACCCTAGTAGTGGCACGTAGCCCATATAGGGAGAGAACTCTGCACTAGAGACACCACCCCAGGCTGGACCCCAGCATCAACCAGCAGATAATCCACTCTCTGCTCCCTCCAGGGCTTCCCCCAACCCAGGGAGTCTCAGCACCCCCATAATCCCCACCCACCCGAGGAGGATGCTCTGCTCCACATTCCTCCCAGCCCCCAGGGGATGCAGATGCATCCCCCACCTACCACGGCGGGCAGCAGGGTGACAAGGGCATGGCGGAGGGCATCGCGCAGGGAGGTGGCATCAAGCGCAGCCCCCAGGCTCAGCAGAGCATCCTGCAGAGACAAGAGCAGAGCAGGGGCTCACTGGGGGTTGATTCCATGGAGATGGGCACTGCAGCACCCACCCTCTCTGACCCCTGCCATGGCACAGGTCCTTCTGCTCCCAGACCCCTTGCAGTGGCCTCCAGTCTGCCTGGTGCCTTTTTTGGAGCCAAACCCTCCTGTGTTAGTCAATGTCCATCATGTAGGGAGGTGGGAGATCCCCAAAAAGGGAGAGGAGGCTTTGGCACTGAGCCACACTGCCCTCAGTGCTAGCCATGCCATAAAGCACCAGTGAGAAGAGAAATGGGGCGAGGAGATGGATTAAAGCTCATCTGGGGATTACAACCCCATGGAGGGCAGAGGTGTTAGGATGGACACGTGGAAAAGCTGGGGGGCACAGGGGGCTCTGTAGTGCGACCCCCCCAGCTCTGCTCCTGCCTCCAGCCTTGTCTGGGAGACTGGGATAAGGATGATGTTATGATGGAAACAGTAGGTGCTTGGAATTAGACTCTGGATAATGGCGTTTGGGATTTGCTCTTCCTCTGGTCCCAGCTTTGCCAGGTGGCTCCAAGCTCCATTCCCGATAACCAGACCTGGGGACTGTCATGCCCCCAGTGACCCCATCCAGGACAGCAGCCCCTTGCAGGGCCATGCCACCCACCCACCCTGGGAGCATCCTTGGCCACGGGGCCAGATCCACGTGGCACTGGGCGTGTGGCTGGTGGTGAGGGTGCTTCCAGCTGAAGACATGGGCACTGGATGTTATTCCAACAGGGCCGCATCTCCAGTCACTTACTCACACTGGAGACACATGCACTGTAGAATACAGCCAGGCCTCAGCCAGGTGGCTGTCCTGCTGTCCCTCTGTCCCACCAGATCCTCCACAGTGGCCCCCTGGGGTGGGGGAAGATGGGGCAGAGCCTGAGTGGGTCCCTTGGGTCTGCTTGGGGCATCAAATGCCAGTGTCATTCTTGGTATGGGGATAGACAGGTGGCAGCTGGACATGGGTGGTGGCTTTATTAGGGCTGGGAATACAGGTCCATCCCTGAAACAGTGAGGGGAAAGCTGCAGGAGCTAAAAGAAGATATTCCCAAGACAAAGAGACAGCAGCAGATGCTGGCAGGAGGGTTTGCAGCCTAGCAAAAAGGTAGAGAGAGTGAGGGTGGGCTAGGAAGGACATCACACTCATTCCACTTATCCCACTCATCCTGCTAAAGTGCTTCTCCCACTCATCCTGCTCATTTCACCCAGCCTATTCACTATATTGATCCAGTTCATCCAACTCATCGCATTTGATGGCTCATCCCACTCAACTGCTTGTCCCACTTGTCCTGCCCATCCCACTCATCCCACTCAATGGCTTGTTCCTTTCATCCAGCTCAACCCACTCATCCCACTCAATGGCTCATCCCATTCAATGGCTCATCCCACTCCTTCCACTTGCCCCACTCATCCTGCATATACCACTTCTTCATCCCACTAATTCCATTTGTCCCACTCATCCCACTCCCAGTCCACATCCTCCAGCCCAGAGCAGAGGTTTACCCCAACATCCTCCCCCCTGTCCCCAGCCCAGAAGGTGCTGCAGACCCACTCTGGGGGCTCTGCCAGGACAGAGCCTGGGCCCAGAGCCAGTACAGCCAGAGCCACTACCAGAGCCACATGCCAGTTATTGCCATAAACAGCCTTTCCCTTTCCTGAGGAGCCCCCTGTGCCCTACTCCCAGCAATCCCCACCCTCCAGGCACTACTCCAGTTTGGGTTGGGGCTCCTTTGGATCCAGCACTACTCCACAAGTGTCAGGGTCTTTGGATGAGGCTGCATTGGCACACACATCCCCAGCCCCAGGGGAGAGATGAAACCATCAGCCAGCCCGTGCCTGTCACCAGGAATGTCACTAGGACCCACACAGCCCTGTACCTGCACCCAGTGGGGACCAGAGCACTCCCAGGGAGATCTCCCCGCACCTGCTCTGCATCCCATCTGCACGGAGGGCAGAGCAATGGTGACACTTCCCAAGTGGGCACAGGGGGTTAATTAACATCACTAAAACAGGAGAAAGCATGGAGGGATTGCAATTCCTAGCTGCTGGAGCAGAGTCCAACCCCCTCATCCCAAGTGCTGCACACCCAGCAGCTCTGGAGGGAAATGCTGTCTGGAAATGGGCATGGAGAGAGGGCTTTGGGAACAGATCCAAGGACGGGGTATGGGAAGGGGACACAGCATGGCATCACTGACAGCCCCAGGAGCTGAGGATGCTGCTCCTGCAGAGCAGGTGAACAGCACCCTGTCCCTGTCCTGTCCCCATGGTGCACACACGTGGCCCTGTGAAGCCCCCACCCAGGGACTGTTGTCACCTTTCCTCTGGCCTGAGAGGACAAGGATACTGATGTCACCCTGCCAGACTCCTTGAGCTCACAGGGTGACCCACGGGACCTCAGTGCTGGCAGGAATTTTGCCAGCTCTCCTTGGCCAGCGTCCCGTGGTGGGTGCAGCACCAGAGCCACATCTGCCTCAGTATTCCCACTGGAGCCAGTGGAAGATTAATGACACCATTCATCTCCTTGGAGTAAGGATTTGTCTCTGCTCCAACATGGAACCCCCCACTCTAGAAAAGCCAAATCCCGCCACAGGCCAAACTCCTGCTCTCTCCCTCATGGAAAATGGCCCTTTGTCTCCTCTGCTGTTTTTGCCCCTCTTTTTCCCTTTGGATAGCTGCAGAAGCATCTTGTCCCCATGCATCCTGTCCTCCTCCAAAAAACAGGCTCCCGAGCCCCCATCCCAGGCTTCCATAGATCCTGCTGGGATTTAAAGCCAGCTTTTTTTATCAGAGGGAATTCACCAGCAGTGAAAACATGACTTTTTGCAAGAGGATCAGCAACGTCTGTCCCCTGACAACCCCACCCCCCAACCCCACCAGTGGAAGCTTGGTTTGTCCTCCCTGGCACCCCCAGCTTCTCTGGATGTTTATGAAATAGAGAAATCCCATCCTGGCCAGCTTCCTCTCCAGAAAGGTTCATTTCACACCTGCCATGTGGAGGGTGGGGGCCTGGAGGAGGAGGACACTGATGTCACAGGGTCTCAGGTCTCTGAGCTTGCATCCCTTCTCCTGGCCTTGCTCCTGGGAGATGAATGGAGGCCCCCCAAGGGTGAGGAGGAAGCCCCCAGCAGCAGGCAGAGGCTGGATCCAGTGCAGTGAGGCACCCACTGGGATGTTCAGCCCTCCTGAGGGTACCTGCACCTTGGGGTCTCTCTCTGAGCACTCGGTGAGTAGAGTTTGCATGAAGCAGAGCTCAGAACTGGGACCTGCCACCCACTGGATTCCTCTTTCACCATGGGAAAACAGGCCCAGAGAGCCAGGCAGCAATTCCAGGTGCCTGTGAGCATCCTGCTCCCAGAGAAGTGCTGAGCAGGGCTGCAGCACCCCCACCCTGCCTTGCCAGGGGATGCTGGGCTGGGGAGGCCCCAGATGGATCCTGCCATCGCTGCCAGAGCACCCATGGGTGCTGATTCTACAGGGGGATGCTGGCAGCAGCCCAGGCTTCAGTGGCAGACTCCTGCCACAACCCTCCCCAAAGAACCTCGAGGAAATGAATCATCTCCCTGCCGAGCTTCCAGCCCAGCTTTGCTGTAAGAATTCCAAGTAAATGATCTGCCAGAGGTGACCTCTTGAGCTTGAGGCATCCATGGCTCAGTGAGCCCTCAGAGCTCACTCAGCTCCTGCCCTCCAATGGGACCTTATCCATCTGTGAGCGCAAGGAAAATGAGCCCAATTAATTTTGGCAGTGGATTAGTCTATTAGCCCCTGCCTGAGCAATGACCTTTGGGATGGAGCTGGACATCGCTCTGTCTGGACAACTTCACCCCCAATTGTGGGCCCCAAATCAAATTAGAGCTTCCAAGATGCTGAGTGGGCAGCACATCCCAGTACCCATATCCCATCCAGATGCTTCTCAATGGATATTACAGGTTCAGGTTGCAAAGGGATTGGGACGCTTGGGAGTGCAGAACACAGCAAGGAGGGGTCTGGGGCACAGCAAAGGACCCCCCTGCTGCCTGTCTCACTAGCCCCAGTGTCTCTCACAGAGGGTTTGCAGATTTCAAGGACAGAGGAGCTGCTCCCCAGGGAATTCCCTTCCCAGGAGAGCCCTGGATGAGGAGGGTGGCCATGTGGTCACCTCTTGCAAGGCTGAGAGCCAGTGTTGGGGGCTTAGGGCTCCCTCCCACTGTGGTCTCTTCAGATAGGATGCATTTTTAGCCACCAGCCTCTGGATCTTGTTACATTTGGCAGGTAAAAAGCAAAATCCCATTTGGATTCCTGGGAGGCAGCCTACCTCCACCTGCAGAGCCCCTCACCATTCCTTGTGTCCCACCCACAGGGAGCCTGGATACCTGTCCCTGTTCAAGGGCTCCCTATCCACCACAGCCCTGCAGGCAGAGACACCCACCCTCTCTCTGCCTTTTCCTAGCCCTTTCCACTTTCCAGGGAAAGTTATGGGGAAACATTTTCCCCTCCTGCCTCCCCTTCAAGGAGGAAGATGCTGCTCCGGGACCCCCTTTTGTCCCCACCCATCACACCCCGAGTTGTTTCCGAGTGCATGGGGACAGATGTCCCTGTCTTTGTCAACTCTCCAATGCACGGCTGCAGAGTGACAGCACCACGGGGAGCAGCTGATCCCCCTGGGCCTCCAAGCTGAGCCACAGCTGCCAGCAAACACCCAGCCCGCGCCCGCGCCGCCCTGCCCAAGCATTTGCCGAGCAATCTGGCGGCATTAAAAATATCCCAAAATATCCCTGAGCCATGATTCATCCTCCTCTCCCACCTCCAGCAATGCTGAGCCGCCCCAGCTCCCTCCAGCCCTGGGGGGCTGCTCTCCCCTGGCTGCTCTGGCCATGGTGGTTAAATATAGCCCAGCTCTGTGGCAACGCCGTGCTAACAACCAGGGGGCAGGGCCAGGCAGGAGAGCACAGCTCTGACACTGGGCATGGGTGGGGAAACTGAGCTAAGGAGCA